CCCCCGCACCCCCACCCGCACCGGGGGCGCGGGCACCGCCGGGCACTCGCGGGGCGTGAGAGCGCACACGGCACGCGTGGGCACACGGGGTACACAGGCACACGCGTGGGCACGCAGGTATACATGGCACACACGGGCGCATACGGGCACACACCGGCATGCACAGGCACCTGTGGGCACACACGGGCACACGGGCATCCTGTGCGCTTGGCACACCTGGGCACACCCATGGCACGCTTGGTACACGGGGCACTCGCAGCCCACGGGCATGTAGACACCCAGGGGCACACACACAGGCTTGCACAGGCACATAGCACACATAGACATATATGAGACATACGGTCATATGCAGGCATCCGCATGCACATGTTTTCACACTCACAAGCACACGCAGAGGAACACCCGCACGCAGCGTGCAGACGCACAGGCTCCTGCTGCCAGGGCATGGCACCATGACGAACCTGGGCAGGGTGATGGCCGCAGGCTCTGGCCAGGATGCGTGCGCTTAGTGTGGCTGTTGTACTTCTGTGCGCCTGTGCGTGCGCGCTTGTGTTTGTTGCATGTGTGTGGGTCCGTGCGCACGGTACCTGCATGCCCATGCATGTGCGTGCTGCAGCAAGTGTGATCACTGGCACACGTGCACACATGTGCAGGCATGCAAATCTGTACACGTATACCTATGTATTTAGGCATGTGTGGACACATGTAAGTATACATGTACATGGCTGTATCTATATGCACACACGCATCTGTGGGCATCTACATGTGTGTGCAAACCTCCATGCCTGTGTATGTGTCTGATGACACATATGTGTACGTATGCTCGCATGAACATGAGCGTATACAGGTGTGGATGCATCTACTGATACATACATACCCATAACTACGTATGTGCATGCGTGTGTCCCCAAACCCATGTGCATGTGTGCACATGCGTGTGCAGCCAGCCCCCGCCCCCGCAGCCCAGGCCAGATGTTTCCAGTAATGCATGACGGGTGCGTCGAGGGGCCGCCCTGCGCCTGGCCCCTCGCCGAGGCCTCCCCTCCCCTCCCCTTCCTGCTGGGCTTCCCGCATGCCGGGACGGGTGCCTGCACCCCGGCACCCTGCCCTGTCCCCTGGATCCCTCCCAGCTCCCAGGGTGCGCTGCACACCGGGGCCTTGGGGCAGCTGTGAGGAGCCTGGCAGGGTGCAGTGGGGCCCATAGCACCCCACAGCCCAGCACCCCAAGTGCACCAACAGCACAGCCCTTCTCACATCCCATTGGGTGCTCTCTGGTCCTTTCTGCCTCCACAGCCCTGCACCCCATCCCAGGACTGACCCCCCAGTGCTCCAGCTGACTTGGGGAGCATCCCTTACCTGTTTCCCCATGGATCCCAGTTGTCCCTGTGGGTTGCTGCCTGGTTAAGGAAATCCTCAGTACAGGATGGGGTGGAGGTGGAGGCAGCGATGGGGCGGGGGGGAAGGGTGTTTCAGGGGTGCCTGGCGAGCTGCTGCAGGCCCCACCACCGCAGACTCGCCAGGGTGCTGGGCTGCAGGATGGGAGAGGGCGCCAGCGCACTCCTGCACCGCTACCGCGTTCGGTTT